TTGTTGCTGCGGGCCGCAACCCTGCCCTGCAGCCCTTGGTGTGTCAGATGTAAATTGTGCAGGGAGGGGGGGAGGCGAGCGCCCCTAGAGAAACCCGGGCTGCTCTGGGGTCGCCGGAGCTTCGTGCCGGCCCTTCTAGCCTCTGCGCGGCCGGTCTCGCCCTGCCGGTGCGGGAATACCGGCACGTAGTGCTTCGGCAGCCGCTGGGCTTGTTCCAGGGAAAACAGGACGCCTTACCCAGCCCAGGCCACGGCCAACGGTGGCCGGAGCTGAGCAGGCACAAGCTCAAACCTACGCTTTGTACAACACCTTTGGGATGCAGCTGTTAAAAACCTCCAAAAACAGAGGTGAAAAATCATTATTTAATAATATTTCACATTTATTTCACATGGTGAAAAATCATTATTTAATAACTGTGACTTCATAAAAGTGTCAAAACAAGAGTCCGTGGGAATATATGATCTCCCAGCAAGTGTCTTTATGTGGCAGGATTCACTGTTCCCCAAAACTTGCACTACCAGTGCTCTCACACAAACTGAACGGCACCACAGCATCGTCTCTGCAGCTCCCTCAGTGAGCAACAGCTACGGGTAGTGACTAAGGAATTAGAGAGGTCAGCCTCCATTTCTCTTGAGAGAAAATGAGAGGAAGCCACTTCCAACACAAGCACAGAGAAACAGGAGAGTGCAGCCTCCAGGATTGCAGGCAAAAGAGCAATTTTAGAAGATGCGTTGGAACGTGTTACTTCCCCGCTTTCCAGAGTTGCATGGGCAGAAGCACGTTCTGCTCCAGCAGCTGGTGAGGGCAGGATTCAGGATTCACCTCACTCAACTTTGGCGCTCTGAAAGCCACCCGCATGGCTGAAATTGTTCAACTGTGCTTGGTCCTTGGTCAGCACAGAGGGAACTGGCATCAGCACAGAGCACTTCATCCCACCTCCCGACGGGCACCCGAGAGGCACTCAGGTGGCACCAACTCTCTCAGGAACCAACGCGGTCCTCTAAGTTTTGGGGACATGAGAGGCTTTGACACTCCTTTTGAGATCTACTGTTCCTTTCCTAGGCTGAAGTCCTAACAAATTTGGGCTCCAAACATCCACCCCGATATCCCAAAGCAATTACAGAGAGGCAAAGGTTGAGAAAGCACTGCAGTATCTGCTGAAGAGGACAACGAGCAGTGATTACTCAGTGTTCATGGGTGCCAAATTGCACCCAACTCCTGCGGAGTTACGGCAGGGAGGAGTTTCAGCAGTCATGGGCTGTGCAGGCTGCTGGCCTGACCTAATGTCCTAAATACCTTGTCTTCCTATCAGTTAATTCCATCTCATGTGACACAGCTGGGATTCACAGCCCAATTGATACAAGAGTCACAGGAACAAATCTAGGTAGCAAGAATAAGAGGTGGGTTTAAGGGTTAATTTACAACAAATCCTCAGAAAACACTCATCTGAGAAGCACAGAGAGGCCACTCAGGCTGGTGCGTCTTGTGGAGTGGAGGAAAGGGACAAAGAGTGCAAATGGCAAGGGTCAACCCACAGGAGAGAAAATATTAAATATATAGATTTATTGCATTGCACTTCTTATAAATGTTTCATTCATTTCATAAAACTAACAAGAATAAAAGCAACAGAACCCTTTCAAGACACAAGTTGAGTTTGTCTTAGAAATAACAGCTACTGGCAATACACTTCTAGGACAAAACCAATACTACATAAAAACAAAGGGCGATTTAAATTAAGGACATAATAATACTGTGCTTAAAGCTATATCAATATCCATAAGGAAGAAGGAATGTTGTAGTGTGTAGAACAGGTGTAGGGCATGCTTTCCGGAACTGTGATTTTGTTAGGTTCTAAAGGAAGAACACGATGCTTTAGTGCACATTAACAAAAACCACCCTAAAGTGTTCTCCCCCACCTCTGTCCTCATGTGCAATGTTACCATCTTCAGTAGTAGAAGCAGCCAAATGCAGCTACCACACAAAACAGGCTGTCCTGGGGAAAACAGAGAAAGGCTCCATGTTAGTAAGGGAAGCTCTTTACTAGTCTAATAAAAAAGGCTAACCTAAGGGTACTTTTAGACCAGAGCATAACCTTATATTGCAATTTTCTGTCTTTCAGTTAGTTTCTTATTCAGCCTGACTTGTGGTGTAGCCCAGGTCAGTGTGTCCGAATGCCAGAAATGCCTCAGTTTACTCCATCCACACACCCTCAGGTGTCAGTTTAAAACAAAAATAAAATAATGAAATAAAATCTTGACTTTTACTCAGTCCTGGATCCCAGCCATAATCCATGGCAGCAGTCCAGCAAAGCATATAGGAAAAGAATATCTCTTGTGCTTCCTCTCCCCACCTGTAAAATAATGTGACTCTAATGACTTTTGTACTTTACTGTATGACCTACTCGGGAAACAAGTTTTACTGTGTTGGACATTATATCTAAGTATATTTTGTGAATGAGGACATAAATCTGTTTTAGTAAGAGTCTCAGTTCCTTCCTTCTAGTGGTTGTTTTATATCTGCTCCACATTTGACATCAGTCTGTCCCTCATACAAAAATGAGCAGCTCTACACTTTCCCACGGTGACGCAGACCACACTTACATTCATGAACACATCGTGAGCATAGCTGTCAGTGTCGGCATCCCAGAAACATCGCGCGGCCATACTAGACAAAGAAGACAGAGCAGAGCCATTACCCACAGGGTTCACGTGGAAGGACCTAAGTGACTATAGATAATTTCCTCAAAAAGCAATCAGAGCTTCCTTTAAAGATAAAGGAAATGGAAAGCGTTCTGAATCCTGAGCCTAGATCCCCACCGCTGAATTCCACTGTGTGCTCTAACCCCCTCTGTATGCTGATCAAGTTCCATTTTCAAACTCATCAGCTTCCAACCCTGCCACCTCCCCCTGTGCAGCAGGGGTTGAAACCTCATTGCAATGACACTTAAGAATCTTCGACTTCTGGCCTGTGTGTGTCGGTTGCTAATTTAGTTTATTTGTTCTCATCCTTCACCTCCTGCACCCTTGTGGTACATACTCCCGAGTTATTTATAGGGAGCTATCATATTCCTTGGCAGATGTTGCGTTACTAGACCACGAGCTAAGCCCTTCTAGTCTTTTCATATCTATACTCTCTGTTCCTGGCCCACCCTGCTGGCCTTTTTCTACACTTGCTTCAGTCCAAGCCTTACCCTGAAGACAAGCAACCAGATCGTAACACGATATTACAGATGAGACCTCACTGTCACCTTGCCTAAAGTCACTGAGATTCTCCTTTCTCTCCTGCAGATTCCCAGCTCCCTGCCTTCCCCAGTCACTCTCAGCTGATGGGATCTGTGTTTGTGGCACAGATGTTCCAAATTGGCACATCTATGACAACTTGTCCCTTTTCTTCCATTATCTTAGCTTTCGGGGTCATTCTCCTTGGGTTTTTTTCGGTTGTTGTTTTTTTTTTTTTCCAGTTCATTATTCCACTCGATCTCCGAAATACCCCAGTTACCCAGTATTTTATATTAAGGATGTTAGTGATCATGCTTCAGTCTTGCCTCCTGCAAATAAGAGAATTTCCCCAATTACTCCAAGTCATAGAATCATAGAATGTTAGGGTTTAGAAGGGACCTCTAGAGATCATCTAGTCCAACCTCCCTGCCAGAGCAGGATCCCCTAGGGCAGCCACACAGGAACGCCTCCAGGTGGGTTTTGAAAGTCTGCAGAGAAGGAGACTCCACAACCTCTCTGGGCAGCCTGTGCCAGTGTCCGTCACCCTCACAGTAAAGAAGTTTCTCCTCGTGTTGAAGTGGAACTTTCTATGTTCTAACTTAAACCTATTATTTCTTGTTCTATTCCTGGACACTACTGAAAAGAGATTGTCCCCTTCCTCTTGATACCCACTTGTCAAATATTTACGTAAGTTAATAAGGTCCCCTCTCAGCCATCTCCTTTCAAGGCTAAATGGTCCCAGTTCTCTCAGTCTCTCTCACAGGAGAGATGTTCAAGTCCCTCAATCATCCTCGTAGCTCTTCATTGGACTCTCTCCAGTAGATCCCCATCTCTCTTGAACTGCGGAGCCCAAAACTGGGCACAGTGTTCCAGGTGTGATCTCACCAGGACAGAGTAGAGGGGGAGGAGAACTTCCCTAGACCTGCTGGACACACTTTTCTTAATGCACCCCAGGATCCCATTGGCCCTCTTGGCCACAAGGGCACGTTGCTGTCCCAGGGACAACTCACTGCCCACGAGGACTCCAAGGTCTTTCTCCACGGGGCTGCTTTCCAACAAGGCAACCCCTAATGTGTACTGGTGCCTGGTGTTAGTCCTCCCCAGATGCTGAAGTCTGTGTTGCTGGGCTATGTGTTTCAAACCAAACACCCCAAGGAACAGTTCACCCTGGTACGGTGCTTCTGGAGCAGTCTGCCTGCAGACAGACATTCCCAACAAAAGCACGAGCAGCAGGTACAGATATTCCTGCCTGACCTCCAGAACGCTGAGGCAGCAGATCTTGTTACAGCTCTGCTGCACTCACCTTCTGCCAGAGTACCAGGCACAATAATAAAGATAAGCCCAGCAGATAAAGCACATAAACCTGATGGGCTGTTCTCTTTCGTTTTCCCATGATCCACTAGTAACGGAAAGCTACAGCCCACTACCGCAGCCAAGAGGAATTCTTTTGTCTGGTTGCAGGCATCTGGAGCTAGACTGCAGGTGTTCAGCACCCACAGCCCGAGCTTGATTCCCATGACACTATTGCATAGGGGTTATACAAACTTAAAATTCTGGAAAATGCCTACCTGGGGGAATTAAATGCAAATGAAGTACTTATGGAAATGTGAGTTTAGACAGAAGTGAGTTACCACAGCTTGTGCTCCAGCAGGACCTTGAGAATGGACCAGGTGTGTGCTCTACTTCATCACAACTGCAGTATAAAATGCTTTTCTGCAACGCTCCTCACAAATGCTTTTCAGCATTCCAGCTTGTTAAGGACCACAATACAGCCAATGATCACTGGCTAATTCAATCAGCCACAATCTAAGCTCTCACTTGCCAATTAAAGACAAAAGAAAGTGCTTTCCATTATACCATCTGCAGAGAGATCTCAGTACCTAGGAAAGTTGGAAGCAGCTTCCAAAAAAAAACCCCCAAAACCCCAAACCAACCCTCAAAACTCAACAAAACCAAGAAAAATACATTTAGAAGATGAAAAACTTACTTCACTCCTTCTCCTCTCTGCTCTCCAATCACAACCTGCACCACCATTTTGTACCTGTCAAATCCCTCCTCTGGAGAGAAAGAAAAAAGTGATTGTGAGAGCAATAACTTGTTTAAAATATGAGCCCAAACCAGGACAAAAAAAGCGAAAGATTTCTGGTTAGAAAGCAGTGTCCTGTGCAAGTTCATGCAACTGGTAAAGTGGACAGAATGCCTCAGGGCTTCATTTTCCTGGGTGCAGATTACCACAGTCTTAGTGGAGTTAAAGGGTGAATGGGGTATTTGGCATCAGTCTAAAGATGCCTCTAAGGCAGAAGACATTCGTGACGGGGATATACATAAAGATTCTTCTTTGACAATTTTCAAGCCTGAACACATAGAAAAAATGTAAATAAGAACGCTAGTGGACAAAATCCAATTATAAAAAAATGGCATAGTTAAAAACTGTTCTGATGCGAAGGTGTTGCAGAGATTTTTCTGCTACACAGGTGCTTCCTTTGCTTCTAAGCTGGGATAAAAGGCCACATTAAAGCACACGTGGGTCTATGTTATGTGTTTGCAAAGATACGCAGTTGTTTGACAATAGTAAAGAAATACCCTTGGGGCACAGGCCAGATCCCATCAGGCCATGGCAATATTCCAGAAGCCAAACCCGAACAAGCTTGTTTAAAATAAAATATAGATCCTAACGACTGTCTCCAGCAAAGCAGTGTCCTGGAAGACTCCAGAGCACTGTTTCCACTGGAGAATTGAACACAGCACGCTGGGTCTGCTAATATATGCCATGTCAACGCTTATCAGAGATGCCAGCTGACACAACAGCCACACCGGGCCAGTCTTGCTTCAGGCTACTCCAACTGTCTTTACAGATTACTGAAGCCAAGCCCTGTGCATATTAGCTCAGCAGCAACACGTGCTGGGACTACAGCTGCTGCTGGCTTTAAAGCAGATGCTTTACTCTGGGATAAGTATAATTCCCCACGGTTCCTGCCGAGGGTGACAGTATGTCTGTATCACTGTGTCAGGCTAGCCCAGCAGATGGAGCATGGGCCTGTCCCCAGGAAGGAGACAATAAAAAAAGTGACCATGCCAACTGATATCTATGTATTTGTTCCAGCACTGAACACAAGAAACACCTGCTGGAGCCTGAAGTTCAGGTCTTGAACTAAAAAATCATAGAATCGTAGAATCATAGAATGCCCTAGGCTGGAAGGGACCTTAGAGATCATTTAATCCAACCTCTCTGTCACCAGTGTCGCCACCTGTCGATTAGATCAGGCAACACATGGGGACCAAACGGGAAAAAAAATATTGGAGACCATCCTGCACAGCTCCACGACAGTGCTGTAAAGCTGTAGTTATGTCCCTCCTTGGCTGACTCTGCTCCTAAGACTCTCCCAGTTTGCTGCTCCCGCTGAGCCTTGTTCTGATCTCCCTGCTATTCCACACTGATCCAGCTCTGATCTAACTTGCAGCAGAAAAAAAAAGGAATGTTCTGTTCATTGAAGCAAGAAGCATCAGTTCTTTCTTCTCTCTAACATAGCTTCTTTCCCCCTGCAGCACCTCGAAGGCTGACATCCCACACCAACCAATCTATATGAAAACAAAACTTGTCTGCTTGAATTAGGTTCCTAGTTCTGCAGGCAAGGAATGTATGTATATAGGCCAGATGGTTTCATAACAGTAGACTTGAGTCAGTCAACAGGGTAGGAATAGGTTTCAATAATAAAGGAAGAAAGGATTTTCTCAAAAAGGAAGAGGGTACAGTAAAAAACGAAACAACTTCCCCAGCAAAATTCCTTACCTTTCAGTCTGTCTTTTATTGTCTCTGATAAAGACTTTGTAAGCTGAGGCATTTCTTCTGGGATGTACTGTACATTGGCCAGCTTCTCCTTCAGTATTGTATGGATGCATTCTTTTACTGTGGATGATTTAAATCTACGAGGACCGAAAAAACCCAAACGAACCAGCAACAGAAGTCCCAGTCAGTTCACACGACACATAGAAAGATACATAAACCCACCTGGCAAAATTTAGCTTTCATATATGAAAACAAAAATGAAAACCCATGGGGGAAAAAAAAAGTCCTGCTAAGACGGAGACACTTCCCCAGCCCTGCCAAAAGCCAAACACCCATAAAGTCAGGTGCAAAATCAGCCCCATCAAGCAGAGTCCCCACCTGTGCTCCTCTCCGCACTCACATTCCCTACATCTCAGTCGGCCTGGGAGCCCAATTCTCCCCCCAGTCCCCAACCCACGGGGC